ACGTCATTTTTTGGTGATAATTAGTCCCTGACGTCACATCACCTAAAAATTACGTTTCAAAGACGTCATAAATGTAACGTCAGTATCACGTCATTATTTTACGTCATATATACGTCACAGTATGGTCATAATTTTTAACTCGAATAAAAGTGTTAACAAACTTGGTGATTTTATTTTTCCGGAGTGATAAAATACAGTTTTTTGTCACCCTTTAAGAGAAAATAGTATATTTTTTTATTAAGTTTGCTGATCGCCAATTGGGTGCCAGCTAACTAAGAGAAAGAAAAAGTTGGGTTATGGTTTACTTTTGATTCGGACTTGCGCCGATTCGGTAGTGTTCAACAAAAAACCCACGCTCTTTCTCGCCTTCGCTTTATAATCGTGAATCGTTACATAGTAGTGCCGCCATTAGTGCTCAGTGCCAGCGTCTCGTTTCTTGACTCAGTTTGGAAGGTGGACGACAAAGTTTTGCGGGCCTTTCGTTGTGTTTTTAGTGTTATTAGGTGATATATTCCTCTTATTATTTATTTTAGAGCATTCAAATTCTTATATTTTAGTCATGTACTTAGTCATTCAATTTTCCGATGAATGCCGGGGTGCCTAGCATTAATTCATCGTAAATGGTTGACACCATTCACGCAAAAGAAGAGTTTATTGGCCGCCCTACAAGGAATTAAATACTTCTAACAAATCGCTTAAAAATGGGGAGGAAGTAAATGAGTCTTGGAGTTTGTATGGTGTTAAGCGAATTTTTTATGAAACTGGTAAGTTGCTCTAAAAGATATAAGCTTCATACCACCTTCATACTCACTAGGGCGAATTTCGCGGATTTTTGACATAATGTGTCAAATTCAGAATATTTTTAAATATGGATTTGACACATTATGTCAAAAATCCGCGAATTTCGCCTAGGCACAGGATAAAGAACGACTTTCTTCTGTGGCCTAAGTGAGTATGAAGCTTAAGCCTTTAGTCAGCCTGTTTTAAGCTTTAATATAATATATAGACATTAACATAAAAGATAAATTAAATACATTTCAATGTACCTGTTTATACAGATTAACAAGCATAAAAGTAACATAAACATAGTGAAGAAAAATAAAATCCAGCCTAAATGTATGTCGATAATACAATTATTGTACATTTGCCTTTAAAAAGTGAGGTTAAGCTATTTTCCTAACTTTCGAACTTCTAAAATTCTTTTCACATTTTTTGATCAATAATAATTGATAGAGTTAGCAGAGGAATTTTAGAAACAGCTACCATATATTGGGGTATATTCTGTAACAATTCCTTTATATTTAACGGCCTTTAAAAATATTTTCTTCTTTACTTCTGTCATTATTTAAACGGATCTTTAAAATACATTAGAGGACTATCTTAAAGAAATCTGTTTAAATAATGACAGAAGTAAATTAACGAATACGAACATATTTTTATAGGCCGCCAATATTTTTAAAGGCCGTTAAATATAAAGGAATTGTTACAGAATAGACCCCATAATGTCTTTTCTCTTTTTCATTTATAATTTGTCAAAAAATCTTATGCTTATGATTAAACTTTCTGTATAAATGGTTTTGCTTTAAAATCCTTAAATTTGTATTTATGTTGAGCTTAAAACAAAATCAGGCTGACTATAAATGTACTTTTAGTTTGATACTTTCGATATAAAAATAATAAAATTGGAGAATACAGTATAACCAACTGGATATCAACAATCAAAATTTTTTAGTAAATTCAATGAAAAATGTAGCGATAATTACCTACTACTTATAAAATATGTATTCTAAATTAATTAAGGTACTTACCTAAGAAAACATTTTTAATCTTCTTTATAACCATTACAATATCAACCAAAAGTGGCTACTACAACTAGTTCCAATAATAAGACAAATCCCTACACATCAAGAATCAAAAACGTTGAAGTAGAACACTAACAAAATATTGTTTTTATGTAATACTTATTTTGTCAAGTTTACAGTGGACAGTAGACAGTACATTAATTTCCCATAACATTTCTGATTTAATATCAGTACCTACAATTTAAGTATTAATACTATATTGTTAGTCTTATTTTAAAATCATTTTATTATGACAAGAATATTCTTCTGTAAAAGTTTATAATTTGTTGTAATATTAGATATGTAAAATTTACAGCTGTTTGTGTAAAATTAACAAAGTATAATTTAGTTGAAGATAAAAATATACTATAAATGTTATAATTTTTTTTATTCTAACTGTAAAATTGTTGTCAATGGGTGACAGAAATTTTACATATCAATTAAAGAAAATTACATTTGTTAATATTCTATGTGCAGGACAAAATTATTATGATTAATTTAATAATGTGGGCTTTATTGTATCATTCCAACAACTTACTACCAATGAAAAATTAACTCTTATATTAACGGGTTTTAACAATGTTTATAATATTTATGTTAAATGAATAAAAAGTATTCTTTAAAACCTTAACAAAACTATGTTGTGAATGTAGTATATTTAATTCTTTGAATGAACAAAAAGTTCTTGCATTTTTTTTTTAAATGAATGTAATTTTTTTAGATGATTTGGAAAAGGGGAGAAGAAAATTAAAACAGGCAGAAAATTCAAGTGACCTAAATTCAGAATTTGATGAGGAAGCACCCAGAAAAAGAGTGCGAGCAAAAAAAAATTTGTAGTAGGAGCGAGGATGAGAGTAATAAAGAAAGTGCATTGGAAAGGCCTCCAAAAATTTTAAAGAAAAATATATTAAAGAAATGTAACGGTAATAAAATTTTATGTTTTACATACCTTTAGTAATTACTGCAATCACATACATTTTGAATTTTTAAATGTTATTTTCAAGGAAAAATTTTTCAGGGTAAACAAAATTATCGCTGTCATGTCTTGTGTGATTTTTAAATAGAAATTATTTTGTTTTTAACCATTTTGCTCAGGATAGTGCTTGGCACAGGTGCCGTTTGATAAAATATACAATGTTCTTAAATTCCATTACCAAATGACAGCCGAAATTTGCATCCCATTTTTTTCAGAAGTCATGTTTAGTTTTAATGATTTTTTATAAAAATTTATAATAAAAGCTGTTATTATTTATTAGTAATATTATTTCCTATAATCCCTACAGAGCCACCGTATTAGTAACGTCACAGTAACGTCACAAATTGACGTTACAGTAACGTCACTGTAACGGCATAAATTAACGTCAGAATAACGTCACAAATTGACGTCACAGTAACGGTACAAATTGACGTCACAGTAACGTCACAAATTGACGTTACAGTAACGTCACAAAATGACGTCACTGTGCCGTGACATAATGACGTGAGCTGGACGTCATTTTGACGTCAGACCTTTGGTGAAAAATGACGTAACTCATGACCAATAAATGACGTCTCTGTAACGTCAGTGTGTTGCCTGGGAGATGTGAAAGTTTTCCCCGTTTAACCGATATTTTAAATACACCATTTACGAGATCCCTTGACACTCAAATGAAATCCGGTCCATTCTATACACACAGTGGTGGATCGCAGATATGTTTAAAACTCCTTTATGTCCCTTGAAAATATTTTGGGATTTAAGATTCAAAGAAAGATGCGATAAAACAAGAAGCTGCAGAGTTGTCAGGGAGCTTTTAAGTTATCCTGACAACACTTCAACAAATAAATATTTGACTATGACTGGACAGAATCTGCGCATGATCATATATATTCTGACTGGTCATTACCAATTACGGAAACATATCCATTGTGTGAAGCTGTGAGAATAAGACCAACGAAAATATCATCTACGATTGTCCGACCCACAAAAGGACATTTGATTCTAAAAATCGGACAAAAGTCGTGGGAGACGAAATAAACAATTTCCAGAAACCGTTCACGCCAAACATCAAAAAATAGCGATTGGTTGCAAGGTACCGTGGAAATACCTGACAAATGTACAAGCAAACCGAGTCGTCCAGCAAAGGTATTCGATGACTTGTGTGACCTCAGTAAAACGCACAAAATTAAAACTCTTAGAGATGAGAGTAAAATAAATGAGCACGTATATGCTACTCGAATGAATATTAAAGGGATCGGTAATCAGGAGGCTGTAAAAGTCGTCAATGATATTACTACAACTCCTACCAGAGGTGCTAATTCATATTCAAAGAAAAAAACATAGATTTAAGAAAAATTCCAAACTCAGCTTGGTCTTATTGTGGATGTTCCCAAAACTGGCTAAGGCAACTCCATTGGCGATGTTGCCGTAGCCATGTCATCTGAAATCACTAGGATTGATCTCAGGTTAATTGAAATATTTGCTAGTATATCAGAAGTGATTTCTAGTTGGCATAAGATAAATGTTGCCATGATACAGCAATAATATTTACCAATTGAAATTGAAGGCCCGAACAATAATGACGATAGATTTGTTAGATGAAACAAATGAGTCTCTGAGTAAGTTTAAGCTATTAAGGACAAATATACTATTTGTAAGGTTTACCTATTTTTTTATTGATTTTCCTGATCTCTCTTTGCTATTTTCCAAAATATATTGCCTAAGAAGTTAAATGTATTATAAATATCGCTGTTTAAGTCTTATAGGTCAACTGAACCTAAAAAATAATTCTGTCCGCTTTTTTGGATTAAATACTCTTCTATGGCGACGCTCTTTTTCATTAGAAGATTTGAGTTTGACGAGAACACCTGCCGATATAAGAGAAGCATATCTTGGCGACGTTGTTAACTACATCAAATCTGTAGGCTGGCTCACAACCTAGGAGTTGCCTATAACTTAGAAGGATGTACGATGGGCCTAGTGAGGCATAAGTTCAATGAGTTGATCAACCCTCCACATGTTACATTTACAGAGACATATGGTGAAAATCACGAGATAAAGTAAATGTTTTGTCTGAAAATATTATCATTCATAATCTTTACGCTTGTGGTATGACGTTCTCTTTAATGTTCTTAAAAATTACATACATATTTCCGTAACCAATTATGTATTTTATTAATCAGATATGCAACAGCTCTGGACTGGTTTCTTCTCATGAGTTTCTTCTACTGCATAGCAACGCTGCTCGAGTTTGCTGGTGTCCACTATTTCACAAAAGTGGGCAGCGGAGAAATACCAATGGATGAAGATGATTGGGAAGACTGTCATGAAGCTGAGGAAGAAGTACTTGGAAGACTTGAAACTGAACTGGATATGACTAAAGTTGACGAACGAATAAGAAGAAGAAGTTCAATCATTTGTCCAATTTATAACGTAAGTTTGGATTTATACTTGTCTATTGGTTAAAGCTTATTTATTTTTGTTGTTGATAAAGATTTATGCAAAATTTATGTAGTTAGTGTTTTACTTTCGAAGACTAAAACATAGACATTTACAAAAAATAAAATTCAGATATTTCTAAAATTATTTTTCAAGGACACTTCGATGAATTGTGAAAGGAGAAAATCGTCTTTTATGTTAGTGCAAGAACCTACCCCTTCACCGTTAATTCGATTGACTATGGAAAGAACCACTCAAACCGAATTCAAGTTACCAAAGTGGAGACAACTTATTTACTGCTTGAAAGGAGATGATAAATTTAGAAGACAAAGACAGAGAGAAGCAGCAGCATCATCTAATGGTACAGGTAAATGAAATTATATGTTTTATAATTTCTGGATAATAATTTATTTATTCGCTGTCTTCCTTCAGACACTATTATCCAATAGTTTTTGTCATCTTTCTGCTAGTCTCGATAATTTAGTCTAAGAAGGTTTCTATATGAAATTTAAATATTTTTTCTATTTAAAAATCAACATTATTTACTTCATTCTAAAGCTTTTTATTTTCTGGTGTAAAACTTTGTTGAGTTGGATACTTGCTGCTATTGAAATGCCTTCCCATTAAATTTATTTTCCTCTTTTAATCAATCCTAGTCCTATTAGAATTGTGAGCCATCCACTTTAACTTAATTAACATTTCCCATTATTCGATAATTCCGCATCACTCATTCGCGAAAAATGCGCGGGACTTTTGAATCTAGTAATTTTCCAAACACTTTCTGTTATCCATTTCTTATCCTCGCCTTATAACTGTTGTGTCGGCTGCGACGATTACTCCATGTCCAGAGATAAAGGAGATAAAGATAGGAAACGCTCATAAGAAGCCAATGCCTAACAAAACCAGCTTTAACGCAGTTAACATCTGACCCACTATGTGGCGCTTTCATCGATATCAAACATCGCAGCGGGAAACCCACATACTTTGATTACTATACGGTGCAAGAGAGAGGTCCGACACGCCCAACATAGGGCGCGGCCATTTTGATTCCTATGCCACAGTTTATAGCTAAAGAATCAGATCGCTGAATTTGTATCCCTGGAGTGGATGTTATTTTGGAACTTTCAACTGGTCCGAGTGAGCTAACTGATTCTTTAGCAATAAACTGTGACTCCAAAAATAATATTTACTGACACTGACACCAGCAAGCAAAATATCAGGTGCGTTTTAATCATCCGCTTTTGCTTCCGGACCAGTTGAAAGTTCCAAAATAACATCCACTCCAGGGATACAAATTCAGGATACGCAGAAGACTGCTGTTTTATTATAGGCGGTTGTCATATATTGTATTATCCGAGTTGCGCAGTATATAAACTGGAACATTGAGATCAAAAGTGCCGACGCAGAGTGAGCGATCTGATTCTTTAGCTATAAACTGTGGCATAGGAATCAAAATGGCCGCGCCCTATGTTGGGCGTGTCGGACCTCTCTCTTGCACCATATAGTAATCAAAGTATGTGAATATTACACTTACAGTCTATTATTGATTAATTATTGTAAATCTATATTCATAACAAATATTTTTTAATTTTTGATCGTTATTTGTAACCTTACATATTTTTATTTTTATTTTCCAAACGAATGGCCAATGGTGTCTTATTTAAAAATGTTGAGTAAACTCAATAATGAGAATTCAGATATTTTTCTTCCTATATCAAATCTTCTTTCTAACGTTTTGAATCCATTTTCTTGTTCTAAAACAATAAATAATACTTAAATACCTACTAAGGACCGATTCCACCGTTGTCTTAAACGAAGTTTAAAATGACATTTTTACACTAACAATGTCATTTTAATCTCCGTTTAACACAACGGTGGAAACGGTTCTTAGTGACAAAAGTTGGTTACTATTTGTGCTACGAAGTTTAAAATGATATTTTTACATTAACAATGTCATTTTAATCTCCGTTTAATACAACGGTGGAATTAGCCCTTATATGACTAGATTTTATTTTGTTTATTTAAAGAACGCCACATTGGGGTTGTTAAACTTATTCATGTGGCATGTGTTACTAAGGGCCGATTCCACCGTTGTGTTAAGCGGAGATTAAAACAATAATGTCATTTTAAACTTCGTTTAACACAACGGTGAAATCGGTCCTAATGCAATACGTTCTTCGACTGATTGTAATATTACAAAATCTAATTATTGTACTCAAATTTCACACAAAAACAGCCCTAACTATTTCGCTTAGTTCATCTAAAGGATAACACAATCACGAACTCAAATTTAAATTCAGGATTCTTCGATATACATAAAACTAACCGACGTTCATATTTACAAACTTCCCACTGCTGTCCACGTCTACTTTCTGTCTCAGTATTGCCAACCGTACGATTTAAATCGTATTTATACGATTTTTTAACTCTCTGTACGATGTACGATTGCATCAGTGACATCGTACGTAAAAATACGATCTTCACTTTTTTAGTAGGTTTCTTTAAATATCTGCAACAACTTCAGAACATAAAACAATAAAAATCAAAAACTTCTTGCAAAGATTCATAGGCCGTTCGTAATTTCTGAAGGCAGTCATTTTCGTTCTCACTTATCGTAAAGAAAAACTTGCATGCAAAATTTCAATCACTTTCAAGTGTCAGTCATTGCTTACTTTAAATTTGTTAATTTAAAATTTCATGTATTTTCTTTCGTTGTAAACATTTTTATAAATAGATAAATCATGACAAAGTTTTTTTTTATTTTTTCAATCCATTTAAGTTATATTATGCTATACATGTATCTATTATACAATTTTTTTGTCGAAATACCATTTTTCTACTCTACTTGTACGATCTCTCAAAAATATAACATCGGCAAACACCCTCTGGATACCTGGTGCGCTGGAACCGGCACGTGGACGTCTCTCCGAGAAGTTTCTTGCTAAGACTGCCAAAAACAAGTTTAAAAATCTTGTATTTTTTGGGTCCTTGTTCCTGATTTCACGTCGAAAACGATCTCCAAACATCTAGTGCACCGAAACGTCGTCTCCGAGGATTCTCCAGACACAATCGCTAAAGATAAACCAAAAATCGTCATGGGGGTTTCCTGGCACGCGGAATCCAAATTCCATCACGAAAACGTACCTTCGGAGACCTGGTGTACCGGAACTCCGACCTAAACGACATCTGAGAGGGTTTTTCTCACACAATCGAGACTACTGTGTCTTATTAGAGATCCCCGTATACCTCATTGTATGTATGTATATACTTCCGAATGAGGAAGTAAAGTCGGGGACTCTATATTGTATCTGTAATAGCCAGCCTAAAACGGCATCTAGCGAACTGTAGTTCATTTGTTAAGCCGCTATTACATTTGTCTTCGATGGCTGCCCTGGGAGAGCATCCTAAAATATTTGGTGATTTGGAAAAATAATGCACTAGAGATCATTGAACATACTATATTAATTATCAAAAGGGTCAGTAAGAATTTTGGTGACAAGTGGCAACACGGCCAAAAACATGCCGGTATTGAAAGCAAGCGATTTACCTATGTTATATTTCACAATTCAATAAGAGAAAAAAAGGGGAAATAAAAAAGGTCCTGTTGCAGGCCTTGCACCTGTGGGTAGGCTTCCTGCTTACAAACTAGCACTTACACCGTGAGTTCAACTTCTTACAATGGTTTGCCGGCATATACGCACTAAGGCGGGAAACCCACACTCACTCGATGTAGAGAATTCACGTAGTTTTTTGATGTCGCGGGCCGATAATCCGGGGTCGAGTACGTTAAGGGGTGTTGCGAAGGCACTACTTTTCGCGTGTACAATGAACGCAGATTTTTTTCTGCTTGAACATTAGAGTGTTAGAAACATACTGTGTCGTCTTTACTCGTTGAGTGTTAGAGACGCACTGGCGTTATTCTCCCGTCGACTCGCGTTAAAGCCTTTTGTTTGGCCAATCAGAGAGCTTGATTATGGAGGGATTATCTAATTATTATTATTATTTATGTGTGTTGTTTATTATTTTATCTATTAGAATTATTTATTAGGGCTTGTGCATTGTTATTGTTTATTTTTGGGCGTTGGTTTTTTTTATTATTTATGAAATAAAAGTTTATGACGTGTTTCCGTTGTATATATTTCTTGTATCTGTCAAACGTTCTGTTTGACATGGCGGTTTGAATTCAAATTCAAAACAGTATCGCTTAAACTACTCTTTATACTTGACAATCAAGTGTAGAGGAATATATGGGTAAAGGATAGACGCATTAGAATAGGTGGATGGGACATTCGGGATCTTTTAGATACCGAGGAAAACTAACACATAGGAGTAATTCTTGAATTAAGGCTGTAACCGAGCGCGATGAAACCTTCTCGACGTCAAATCTATTCGCAGAGTAGAAGACCATTGGCTTCATTCAATTTTCATGAGAATACCACTTGATTACTATGTCTCAAACACGACTTTCCGGCTCTTAAGGGGTCGTTTTCCCGGTCCCAAAGGGGGGATTCCAGTTGGTCATAAACTTTTCGAGCACGGTATTCATTCCAGAATTCAAAAGTACATAAAAATACCACTGATGCCATTGCGACGTTCGAAACACGATTTTCCGGCTCCTACCGGGCCATTTTCCCGGCCCGCACGGGGAATTCCAGTTGTCCCGAGAACTTTTGGACCACAAACCCCGACTTTGGCTTTAGAATGCACCTTCAACCACGCCTTATCTCAGAATCCACCTTTCAGGTCATATAGAGGCAATGTTTGGCCCCTGGGGCTAATTCCAGACGTGGAGGGCCATTTCTGAGCTCAGGATCGGATTCAGCGTCGAAAAATACATGAGAATACATATGTCCGACTGCCAAGTCTGAACACTTTTTTTTATTTGTAGGTCTGTGTAATCCACCCAATTATTTTTTTGCAGGTACTTCACATGGGAGAGTTCGTCACGTGAATAGTGTTTCTTTAATAGATCGTACAGCAAGAGTTATTTTTCCAGCTTCGTTTGGATTTTTTAATTTATTCTATTGGATGGCTTATGTTACTACTCAGGAAAATTTCAAGTGGGGAGAAACTAAAATACATGTTGTAAATCATTAATGGACCTACTTGAAACAATAGATTTGTACTACTTATTTATTCTGTTTGAATAAATGGGTATGGATTGTTGAAAGAAAATGTTTTTTTTTTTTTGTAAAAGTATGATTTATTTCAAACATAAATAAAACAAAGGTTTAAAATCTAAAAGCATGTGAAATATTCCTATCAGTCAATTTTTACAATACTGATACGTCTCAACGGTGTATTTTCTTGAATTCATATTATTTTCATCCATTAAACTTTTAATGTCATGAAAAATTATAGATGGATAAAAATGGTTATACGGAAGAAAAATTACTTTTCTTTAAAAAAATAATTCTAACTACTTTAGGTAGGTAATAAATAAATAAATAAATAAATCATAAAGGTAATTATTTTTTTTTCTTAGAAAACTAACTGTACCTATTTCATGTCATGAAATATTATTAAATTAACGTCATAGACCATTAGAGTTCTGATATATGTTACTAATTAACATTACATGATCCAGTTTGAAGTTAAACATTCCTTAATCTGATACAGCAAAAAAATGTTTCTTTGGTTACTGTTTTAGAAAAAAAAATATTTCCACATGCTGTATAAAAGTGGATTTTTAGAAAATTATCTTCTTCCAAAATACTCTGTTGCAAAACTAAACTTCCGTCATCAATTGGACTAGAACGAAAACTTCCTAAATTTTAACAAATGCATCTTGAAATAAAACATATCATTAAATATTTTATTTCAATCAAGAAAATACACCTTATGATAATAAACATTCTTATACTTAATTATTTAGATTTTTTTGTAAAATGAATTTTACATTTTGGTATATTTTGGTTGGGTATAGATTATATAATTTGATACCAATAGTTAATTAAAAAACAAAATTATCTTTTAAAAAGAAGAAATAAGGCAATAACAATGTCAAAATAAAAGCTTTCCAAAATAGTTATATTTAAAAGCAAAAAATTAGTGGCCTATCAAAAACAGTAAATCATTGATAAGAAAGGCTCAATAATAAATTATCCAATTTTGAGTAGAAACAATACTAAAATATATACTCAAAAAGAGAATTTTGTTTCTGAATTATAATAAAACCATTATAGCACGTATATCAATTAGAAGCAAATATTATTTTATTACCCGTATACATATAAAAATTCGTAATTACTTAAAATTCTGAAATAATCTTAATAACTCATCTTTTTCAAACCCTACGCTTTCCCAGTAAACATTAAAATGCTATTCATATCGTTTGTAAGTTTAAAGTCACGTATAATATACTCTAAGAAAGTGTGACAAAAAATTATAGTTTCGGATCGTATTCTTTGTACATTCCTTTTACATCCGATTTTAGAACATTCTTTGACATACATGCATAGTACATTCTTTAGAAGTACAACATAGTGGTGATAATTTTTGCACGAGTGTATACGTTCCAGTACATGAATATCACATGTTTTTATGATAGGTTAATGGAACGTCAGAAATATAAAAATTGTTGCAGAGTTTTCATTTTCGCTTGTAATTAACTTTTCCTATGTTGGCGCAAAAGTCTACTTTGCCAGCATTGCCGCTTTGCTAGGTTTCTTTTTTGTATAGGTTAGATGGGTCCAGTGAAGTAACCGGCAATAAAAGATTATTGGAGGATGCATAAACTTTACAGCGTTCGCTTAGTTCGAACAGTAATGCCCAGAAAGAAATTCGAGTTTATATTGAAATATATACCCTTTTCCTATAATTCTACTAGTGGTCATAGTGACAGGCCTTATAAGGGTATTTGTTGTTAAATTCATTCAGAATTAACGGAAGACATACATCCCGGTTAAATATACGACAGAAGAGTCTTTGGTACTGTTACGCAGCACCCTGTAGCGTTCTGCGGTCATCATAAGTTAAGGTACGAGTAAATGAAGAAGATAGAATATTCCCGAAATGTCATTCCTTGTCAAAGGAAAGTCCAGATTGTTCGAGAAGGTTCTGGAAGGTCGAGGCAAGCTATATAAAGCGACGACCTGACGTCAGAGTTTCAGTTTTATGATAGACGTTACATGTTAATGTTATCAGTTGTATAATTGTTGTTAAAGTTGAGTTGAAATAAATTGCGATATCAAAAACGTGTGCAACAGTACCTTGGCGCGGAAGATTGATATTTCGGCATTACATGTCCAACGAAGCAGTCAAATATGGCATCAAGGTCTACAAACTCTGTATAGACAAAGATCAAATTTGGAATATTGCGGTAAATCAAGAGATCCTGTAATTCAGGCTCCTGAAAAAACCATCATATCATTGGAAGAGGGTCTATTAGCAAATTAAAAGAACTCAGCTAGTACAATGACGTCACCGCGACATTATTTTTGGTGATAATTAGTCTCGGATATCACATCACCTAACAATGACGTCTCAGAGACGTCATTATCACGTATTTAATTAAACTGCCCACAAAGTTGGTTATTTTTTGTATCCAGAACGACAAAACATTTTTTTGCCGCCCTTCAAGAGAACATTGAGAATTTTATATTTTGATGACTGGCCGCTGATAGGGTGAGAGCCAAATAAGAGAAAGCAAAGAAGAGAAAAGAAGAAAAAGTTGGCTTGAGTTAACATAAACATGACGTAAACAGTGTGTTAAAAAAATGTGGCATCTTATAATAATTTGGTTATTAGGTAAGATATTCCTTATGTTATGTATTTTAGAGTATACAAATTATTATACTTTAGTGATTGCAGACATTATGTAATACAATTTTCGGAAGACTACGACGGTCTTAATGCACCGTAAATGATTAACACTTCGAAAAAGAGAAGTTTATTGGACACCCTTCAGGAAATTATGCATAATGCTCTAACAATGGATATGAAAAACATAAGTAATTTATTTATTCATTAGAAACTTGCTTTTGTTGTAATTATTTTTTCAGCTTCTTCTGGAACTTTATTTCCAGTATTTATGGTGTTCAATGTTTAGTTTTAATAATTTTTATATGTAATTATTTTATAATAAAGGCTTTATTATTATCAATATGTAATATTATTTTCTATAAGTCCCATAGAGCTTTCTGTTAGGTAGATGCATAACTAACATCATAGTAAGGCTACAAATTGACGTCATAATAACGCCACAAAATGACGTCGCTGGGCCGTGACATAATGAGCTTAACGTCATTTTGATATCACATCTTTGGTGAAAAATGACGTAACGGATGACCAATAAATGACGTCGCTGTAACATCAGTGTTATATCTGGGTATGTGCCGAAGAATGTCATAAATGCCAAATTGAAGAGGAGTGACATGTCTTAACAAACAATGGATTCGTCACCAAATGGCATAAAAAGCGAGATGTAAGAATATTTTTGATTAAATCATCTAGGCTAAGAACCACCCCATCAGAAGAAATGCACCCATAGCAAAATCGAAATGCATTTCTGAGTACAATCATGGCAAATCATCATTTGATCTAAGCAATCAGCTTTGCGGCCACATTGGTAACATTGTCAATGTGACTCGTGAACTAAAAGGATGAGATTTTCGTTCATTCTTCTTTGATTTTTTTATGTATAATATATAATAATATGTAGGTGTATACCTGGTGACATTGTTACCAGGACCCCATTAATATTTCTTTTATTTATAGAGCAATTTTGATCAAATTTGGAACAAACCTACTAGACATAATTTTGAATTAACACTTGTACTTAAACAAAATTGTTGACTTCCAGTTTTACCGGAAATGCTGTCAAGTTTGATTTTTAAATGAATCATCCTGTATATTCGATGTTTTTTGGAACCTACGCTTCAAATTACATATTATATGGCAATGTTGCCAAATTTTCTTTTTACAATCAATTTTTTTTGAAAACTTGCTTTTCCAGGTAGAAGGCCATGAATTGGAAAATGTTTTAATAGCCTCGAATAACTCGAAACAAAAGCTATTTTACCAATTAAATTGAAAATAAATTCTTTAGATAAAAAAAATTCTTAAACCTGTTTTTTACCAAAATCTCACTTTTTTGTATATATCACCTATTGGAGACCATTTCGCCTTTAGATGGAAAATTTTATAAGCAATCTGACAATTGACAATATACACCACACGGTTAATTGCCTTCTACATAAAAAAAAATATTTGGGGAAAATGAAAATTTGGCAAAACTGTCATGTATAATATTAATTATTTAATACTTTTTAAAACATCATTCGTATATGAGTAGCCTAATATTACAATAAAAAGTACCTACAGTGCATTTCATATGCTCATTTAACGAAATATGTATATCAAGTACATGTTTCATAATTAATAACAGTAAAAGAACGTTCCTTGGGAAATGAGAGTATGAGAGCCCACTGCAAATTTTGACCGTCATCTGATAACGAAATGAAATATGCTCCAAAGGCATGTAACAACATTGTACTTTACCAAATTGCACCTGTGCCAATCCCTATCCTGAGAAGTGATTAAAAAAATATTTTATATTCAAAAAATCACATAAAACATGACAGCGACAATTATGTTTTTCCTGAAAATTACAATCCTAATTCATTGTGAACCTAGCTTTTAAACATGAATTATTAATATTTTTACCTACCTTTTAAACCATGTGTATGTATGAAAGGAAGAAGGATGGTATTGTATAAACCATTTGCAGAGATAGTCAATAATAATTATAAACTCTTGTTAGACAATTATTTTAAACCATAATCATAGTAGTCTTTTTGTCGTTTCTATGGCAACTTGTAAAAATGAATCACAATAAGAGGCATACAAATAAATTTTTAAATCAGCAAACATTGATTCATATTTTTAATGATATTTACCTACTAATCGTGGATAGATGTTTTTATGCGATGTTAAGAAGAAGAAAATGTTTCCCTTTAATAACGATATATATAAATGTTATTTTCTGGAAAACTTTAAGGGCAAACAAAATTAGTGCTGTCATGCCTTATCTGATTTTTTAATATAAAATAATTTTTTTAAGCCACTTTGCTCAGGATTGGGATAGGTGCCATTTGGTTAAGTACAATGTTTTTCCATGCTTTTGGGGTATATTTCATTTAGTTATCAGATGACGGTAAAAATTTGCAGTGGGCTCTTGGGCTATTTGTATGTGTAATCTAGAATGTAACATTAAATGCATATTTTAAAATTTGAACAGAATCTATTTAAGTGCATTATGTAAGAACAATAAAAGAAGCTGGACAAGTAGGGAATTTTTCATATCCTTCGTATATGCGAAGAATATGCCGTATATTACAAATGCATATTTTACGTCATAAATAGCATGTGAATAGCAGTTGTACTTGCAAAAAATCTGTAAATGTTTACTGGGCGGAGTTAAATTCAGAAAAAAAATTATTGTAATAAAATTTTCCAGAAAAAGTTTCATCCAGTTCTATTCATAATATGTTTGTATTCAAGCAATCAAGCTAAGAGTGCGTTTACTTCCAATGGATATACTTGACTAATTATTGTTAATTAAAAATTGTATTTTTCACCGGTGTCAACACGACTAACCCCTAACAATTTACAACAATGGAATGTTTCCAGTAGTACCTAGTGTAGTTTTTCATTGTCTAAAACACCATTTATAAAAGCTTATAAATAAAATAATAGAAGTCTTTTAGTTTCTTTCCCTTAACGGTGAGTTTAGCGTCCTATTAGGACTACTCAGATTTTCCTTGTCATCTTTCGGGTGTTTGGATTTTTTTATCCATTTTTTTGTATCAGAATAGTTTTCTTCGTCTATAAATTTTTTGGACTTTTTCGGTGTACGCTGTTTGTTTTCGTTTTCCAAGGTTTGCTAGAAACAGAAAAGCATTTATTGTATTTTTTGTATAATTTAAATAAAAGAAATAAAAAAATTCTCATGTGCTAATATTTAATTTACCTACTAGACAAAAATAGCTTATTCACTACGACTTTACGGCATTTTTTATAACAAAGTCATTTGACAGACACAACTAACAAAGTATTTATGTGTATATTGTGTTGCCTGCTTACTATAGGATTACTTTTATAATACGCATAAAAAATATTTGTTAGTAAGTACATCTTAAAAATAACTTAATTAATGGCTCATAGACTGTTTTAAGTTTTATTTAATTTTACAAACAAAAAAATCAAATTAAAAAAAATAAATAATAACTGGTGAGGATTGAACTCACGACCATCAGGTTCAAAGACAAACGCGCTAGGCTCTACACCAACAAGACATGTTAAATGAGTGTTAAAAACAGGGTAATTTATTTTTAATATTTTAATTATCATTTATATATTAAGGAAAATGAGTTTGAGTAATAAATGTTCAACTAAAAGATTTAGCCTACATTTTCTTTTAAAATACCGATTAGCTTTATAATAACCTATCTAATGAAAATAGGCGTGTGCAAAAAGTAACTTTCCGCCTACATGCGGCAATAATGTCAAACTATGACAATTCATGGAAAACATCAACTTTCTTGTTAGATTTGAATGTGCAAAAGCCTACTTTGGATAGTGATCGTAGAAAAACATATGAACCCTTATATCAATGTCATAATTTGATACTAAATATTATTCTGCATTAATATGTTTGTGAATAATTTTCAACAAAAACCTTTCCGTTAAGTTTCAATGTTGTGGGAACCGAGCTCTTCTTCTGTTGTTCAAACAACATTTCTACAATCAAAGATAAAAAGAGACAACGACGGATGATGAATAAGTTAAAAGAGAGCAAAATAAAAATAAAGTAAAATCATTTTGGTGTCTTATTTTTTAATAACTATTTTGTATTTAATACAAGCAAGAAAATTTCTCATCTCTGAATTCATATATTTAAAGTTCAATATTTAAATTTGTGTTATTAACACGCAAACAAGTTTCAAAAAAAGTTATATGGATTTAAAAAAATACGTATTTTAAAATTATTTTTTAAATATACAGAGTGTTGCGGTTTTGTCTGACAAATACAAATTTATATTTTTTAAATAGAACACTCTGTATTTTATTTTAGTTTTAGAGTAGTTTGATAAGACTGTATTCAACCCTAGAATTTTTTATTCAGGCTTACCAAGTAATTAATTTTTTTATGAAATTAGAGATTGATGCAGGCCCCAAAATAAATTATCATAATTTAGGTAAGTTTACAATGATTTCAACATTGTTTAAAATACAGACTTAGCATACTAAGCTAACGAATAGTGGCGAAAAAAACTGGTTAATTTTTTTAGAGAGTGTCTTAAAAATATGTCCTAATGATGTCTAAGTTTAAGTTCAATTTACCCATTTTTTTTTTCAAATACAATAAATACTCTGTATATTATTTTAGCATAAACTTCTTTATAAATTTACTTATTCAATGATATCAACATGTTAGCCAATAACGCATATACAGGGTGTCCCATCACTGCGTAATTGATCGATAGCTGTTTTTTATTGCAGATAAGAAAAAAAAATGATATATAAGTTATATGATCATGTTTAATAAATATTCTTAAATATGCAGGGTAGCCTATAAACGAGGGGCTGACCGAACTTATTGTAATAATCAGAGATTTCAAAGAAAATGTGTATAGAAAAAAAAAACACTCGGTATAATAAAAAAAAATTGTATTAACAAGATATATTTCAAAACATTTTTATGCAATACGATAACATACGGATTTCGAAAGACACACGGGTAGCTAAAACAAAAAAATGCCTTAGTCGGGTTTTTCTATGGGTTACAAAGTAAGTTCAAAATACAAGCGGATGTTACACAATTTAAAATATCATATTTTGTTTATAGAAGTTCATATAATTCACTAAAAACCACGTAGCTAAATGCAAAGCTGACTCAGCTTCTTGTTGTCTCGACAAAAGGTACTGTTTTGTAGCTCAACAAGAAGCTGAGTCAGCTTTGCATTTAGCTACGTGGTTTTTAGTGAATTATATGAACTTCTATAAACAAAATATGATATTTTAAATTGTGTAACATCCGCTTGTATTTTGAACTTACTTTGTAACCCATAGAAAAACCCGACTAAGGCATTTTTTTGTTTTAGCTACCCGTGTGTCTTTCGAAATCCGTATGTTATCGTATTGCATAAAAATGTTTTGAAATATATCTTGTTAATACAATTTTTTTTTATTATACCGAGTGTTTTTTTTTCTATACACATTTTCTTTGAAATCTCTGATTATTACATTTTTATTACATTTTTTAAAGCAAAACACCCTGCGGGTAGTTATACATATTTGATTATTTTCACATCATGAAACAATTTTAATAGACTTCATTTATTTGCTATATTGTATATAGGATGTGTCAAAATGCGGGGTAACGATTTTCTCCATTTTTTAAATGGAATACCCTATATGTTATAACACCAATTAATTAATACAGGGTATTCCATTTAAAAAATTAAGAAAATCACAATCTAACGTTTTGACACACCCTATATACAATATAGCAAATTAATGTCAATTAAAATTGCTTGACGATGTGAAAACAATCAATTATGTATAACTACCTACAGGGTGTTTTGCTTTAAAAAAGTATAGATTTGGTCAGCACCTCGCTCATGGACCACCCTGTATATTTGAGAATAATTGATAAATATGGTCATACAGCTATTTTTTTAAAAATGTCTTCATATTTCTAATAATAAAACAGCTATCGATCAATTACTCACTGATGGGACACCCAACATATTGGTATTGTTGTATAGGCGAATTTATAAGGAATTTTATACTAATATAATATACAGGGTGTTGCATTTAAAAAAAATGAACTTGGATCCAAGGGTGCCAGGTCCGAATCCCACAGTTGGCCGGGAATTTATTTAATTTAATTATTTAAAATTAATTCTGATGCTTTGGTAGGATTCCCCACTCGACAATTCACTGTTGGGTTCTAATTAACAGTGCTGTTCCTAAAGTGGCGCTGGAAAACAGTAACAAAGCCTACATAGAATACGAGGCGAGATAACCTTATCAGTTGAAGCCGATGACACACAAAAAACAATTAGCCATATTTAAAAAACATGTTTCAAAACCCTCTGTATAAAATAAATCAATTCTATCACTACTATTCATTAGCTTAGTATCCTATAAGTCTATTAAACAATTTTGAAATCATTGTAAACCTACTTAAATTATGATAATTTAATTTGGGGTCTGCATCATTCTTTAATTTCAAAACAAAATTAATAGCTTGGCTATACTGTAATATTTTTTAAAAACATTCTAGGGTTGAATGGAGTGTTACCAAAACATTCTAAAAATAAAATACAGGGTCTATTTGAAAAACATACATTTTTATTTACCAGCCAAAATGCACACCCTATGTATCCAAAAATTACTTTTATTGAAAACTTGTTTGCGTTTCTATAACACAAATTTAAATATTGAACAATTACGCACTAATACCTAGAACAAAGGAACAACTCATAATTCATAAATTTAAAAGTAGGTACTTATACCAATTAAAGAAAAGAAGCGAAGAAAGGTATTTTCAAGGGTATAAATTTTATTAGTATTCGTCAAGCATTTTCGGGTATTAATCTTAAATACTCGTGCAATGGCGGGGTTAAATTTAACCCCACACTTCTTGAATAGTACATTCTGCCAAAGAAACGTTGAAATGCATGCGCACGTATCCATCTAATCTCCTGTGTTGACCTTACTAACTTACTTAAATCTTTATTAATCTATTTACATTATCTACATGTTCATTTTTATTGGATAATTTATAAAGGATTAATCCTCTTGGTCCCGCGTATGTTCGGTACCATGACCGATGTCCTAGCCTGCATATATACAATTTGAACTTCTCCTTATCCATCAGGATATTATACTGCCTTTATGGTTATTTTGCCAAGTGATTTTACTTGTGAATATCTTCCCTGAAAAACTAGCGAAAAAACAGAGTTGTTTTTGTTCTGTATTGACCTCTCGATATGCGAAAGCGTCAGTTCATTTCACGATAAAAAATATTTCTGATATTTGATACTTAGCCGCCGAAATCTAGTCTAGTTCGCACATGACAAGTTTACCTGTTTACATGTTGTGCGAAATATGGCTATCTGCGACAGTAATGAGATTAAAATTAGGCATTCTAAACAAAAGAACGTCGAACACAATGAAACTATTATTTAAAAAAAAAAAATCACTTAGGTATACATTTTTCATAAATTTCTGGGGTCCGAAAACCAGAGCCTATTCTTGGTCCAGTAAAAAGGAAAAAACGAGGATATGCGTCATGTTTGTCCCTATTCAAGAAATCAAAAGAACGAGAGTCACAAATTGTGACAAATGTAGTAGATATATTTGTTAAAAATCATGAAAGCAATAAGGTATTATGCCAATTATATATTAACCGGTAACCTATAAGAGATGTCTGCCAATCTTGAATTAAAAAAGCAAGAAGTATAAATGTGTTATTTTTCCAGAAAGGATCCTTGAGGCTTTAATTGACCCACAAATATGCAAAACGGACATTTTTGTTTTGAAATTATTGAGAATTTCCATGATTATGTTTTTGTAAAATGGACATATTTTTTACTCCTTAAAATGCTGTCACTCAGCGTATCATTTTAATATAATTGCCAAAGTACTGAAACTGTTAGGTTAAAAATAAGTGGGACAATAGCATTGCCTGCCACTGCGACAAAGATGGATTGTGGCTAAAGTGACACTAGAACATTCGCAAGTAATTGTGAAGGGGTCTCAAGAATCTCAGTTTTGAAAAGTATGTCTAAATGAACCTTTCACAACGTTGAGTTTTGTTAAAAAGTATTATTATTTTAGAAGCGACTTCCATTTAGTAAAACGTAACAACACTGTCGGAATTATTTCTTTGTTTAGTGGCTCAGACAAATGCGGTTGCGCAGCAATAGCGGTTGGCAACAGTACAAGATTGAGAATGAACAAGAAGCGATGGCGTCTGTCTGTGTCCACAAAATTATGGTTTACTTTGTGTAGTAACACTGTTGTATTCTTGGTGTAAAACAAAGAACAGTTTAACAAACGATTCACAAATATTTTAATAAGTTTACATGCTGTTGTTATCTTAAATAAAAGAAAAAGGCTTGAGAGCGCAAAGCGCTTGATAATTACTAATCAAATTTACACACTTGAAAATACCTTACATCGTTTCTTTGTTTTTTATCTGTCACATATACTTACACAAACTTTGATTTATACCAATGAGTATGTTAATTATATAAATAATACAAATAATAATACTTGTGATGAAATAATAGTTATATATTAATAAACCTTTCCCCACCAAACCAATAGTGCTTTTGTAAATTAGAAGATATAATTTTTTTTATAAGGGAGCTTTTACTTACCTGTTTTAACTGGCTTTCTAATAGTTGACATTTATTTAAAAGTGCATCTCTTTCTGCTTTCAGTTTTGTAAATTCTTCTTTTAATGATGACTCTTCCTTCTAAAATAAAAATAATTTAGAAAATAATTTATTATTAATCTTAAAGAGTTACGAACAAGGTATATTTTTCTTACCAATCTTCGCTCAACTTCTTCTTTCAAATCTTCGTTATTGTTTTCTAATTCGTTGCATATTGTAACTTGGTTATCGTATTTTTCCTTTAAGGCTTGTTTATCAGCTTGGTCGTCAGAGAGTTTCATTAATTTCATTCTGTTTTGCAAATTTTCAGCTTCCAGTTCTTCATATTTCCACGCCAAAACATCGTATTTACCGGACATTTCTATGTATCTTTTATGGATATTCCCTTAAATAAAAAATATAATTTGTGATGTGATTCACGAGAGAGAGAGGTTTGTTGATGAAATTATAACAAATAAGTAAGTCAGTTGCTGAGCAGAAACGATAAAAAACCGCTTCCGCTCTTTACTCTATCCCTTAACAAAAATGAAAATATCAAATAAAATTATGGGATCAAGGAAACACTCCATTTGAGAGTGCAAATAGAAGCCTGCGAAAAAACTTAACTGTTACCTCAATGTAAGCGATGCTAAGAATATACATACTCAAAACTACTACAAAAGAACACTACTGAGAATGCAACTTCAATGCTGCAAAACATAATGTATCAAAAGGATAAACAGGAAGAATTCAATAAGAAAGATTGGACAGACTAGAAAATAATAACAAAAGACGATAAAAGACAAAATGACTCCTGATCTTAGAATATCCGAATAAAATAACAATGGAGTGTTACAACATCAGCAAGAGTTTTTAGTGACATATCAGATCTAACATGCCATTCAACCAAGAAATTCTTACAGAGGTAAAGCTTCTATTATTATCTGCCTTAAATCCAATACAATTCCTTCGATGTGGAAATGTTCTAAAGTCTGCCCAGTTTTTAAAAAAGGTGAACGTACTGATATCAAAAATTATACGCCGATTTCTATCATTTGCAATTTCTGCAAAATTCTAGAAATATTACTGGAACGTAGTATTTATCAACATGTTTGTAACGCAATCTCAGCTCAGCAACATGGTTTTGTTAAAGGACGTTCCACAGTAACAAATCTTTCTGTGATCACACAGCAAATAGCTGAAAATATTGATAATCGGGTCCAAACTGACGTCATCCATACGGATATGACAAAAGCATTTGATAGACTATTATGATACAGAAACTCTGCGTATTTGGTCTTTCTAATAGTTTGATCACACTTTTTCAATCGTATCTCTCTCAAAGAACACAATATGTTCAATTAAATGGATTCAAGTCTAACAAATATTGCGCCACCTGTGGTATACCGCAAGGTTCAAATTTGGGTCCGCTGTTATTTAATATTTTTATCAACGACATTGGTGACGCTATAAATGTTGATTATTTGCTGTATGCTGATGATTTAAAAATATATTCAGCTATTGAAAATATTTCTGACTGTGAACGGTTGTCGGAAAATTTGAACAAAGTTGTTGAATGGTGCAACAAAAATGGCCTTACACTAAATCCCGTCAAATGTAATGTCATACACATTAAAAGCGCATCCAATTATATTCGATTATGTCCTTGATGGACGTTTGCTTTCTAGACCCAACAATTTTATGAATTTAGGGGTTACATTTGACCCAGTATAATTGTCGTTTAAATACCACATAGATAACATTTCAACAGCAGCAAATCGTATGTATGGATTCATAGTACGAGTGGGCCGTGATTTTAAAAACACAGATACTATTAAATCATTCTATTTCTCATTTGTTCGATCTAAACTCGAATATGCCTCGTTTATTTGGGATCCTTATTATCAAATACACATTTGTCGGATAGAGTCCACACAAAAGCGTTTCCTCAAATACTTAAGTTTTCGGGCAGACCAAATTTATCCACCGATTGGTATTACTCAAAATGCTTAACGACGGAAGTACTTCTCCATAAGTACCGTCTACAAAATTGTTAATTTTAAAATAAATTGTGAAGCTCTTTTACATATGCTTAATTTTAGAATCCCCCGCGCAACCTCTCGAAACACCGAATCATTTTACATAGCAACTTCTCGGACAAACGTTCACCTGTATATAACATGTGTAATAATTATAATAATATTAGTGAACAGTTGGATATATTTAATTGCAGTGTTAAAAACTTAAAAACACATTGTTTAAAATAATTTAGAATTTATTTACTGTAATTTTAGATTAATTATCTATATGCTTTTTGTTAAACTGTTTTCTTACAAATGTACTCCTGTTCTGTAATTGGGTTTAACCTGTTGAACAATGTATAAATAAATAAATAAATACATTATTATTAAAAATAACATAACGAGGAAAAATTGAAACTGATATAATACAAGATGTTAGCATATCTGTTTAAATAAAAAAAATGTACTGTCTACTTCATACTCAGATATAATCTCCAAAACGAATACTACAACTTCTTGACAAATCTTAGTGAACAATTTATATTAGGTGCTGATTTTATCGCAAAAAATATCTACTGAGGTTCACGTTTTAAGAAAGTTAGTGATATAGAGAAAATATTATTAACTAGTCCTAAAGAAGTACGAAGAGAAATTAAAAATATAATGTTAATACCTCATCCTTCAATGCTTATTTGTAGTTAAATTGAAAATTTTAATACATCTGAACGACACTTACAATTTTTACTACAATTTAAAATTAAAATTAAATACAAAGTGTTCCATATATATAAAAAAATAATAATTTTATGTTGCCTTGCTTTTTGAGGGCACCCTGAATATTGGGACATATTTTTACAATAGGCGCTTCTATGATCTGTAAATTTCTTTTTCTAACATTTTCTTGTATTTTCAATAACAACTGAGATATTAATATACCGATGGCTCAAAATTTCAAAAATCGTTGTGATTTTTCAAATTTTTAGAGAGGAAAACGTCTTAACACTCACTAAATACGGATAAGCATATGCATTTTGCGTTATGAGATGTACCTAATATTACAAATATTTTTTTATGTTGTAACAATAATTAATTTATTGTTGAAGTTCGAAATTTGTCAGAATGGATGAGCGCTCTTTCCAAATTACAATTAACTGTTAATTCTACCATTCGGAGAGTACAGGTCAGGTTAATCCCTGAGGCGTACCTCTGAACTTAACGTTGTATTCATGTCACCAGAAAGTCAAGTACAGGTCAGTTAAATATCTGAGGAGTACCTCTAAACTTCAATTTACAGCTTTTGCTTTGGTGAGTAAAAAAAGTTAAATACAGGTCAGTTAAATATTTGAGAAGAAGTACCTCTGAACCTTAATTTAAAGCTTTTGTTTTTGTAATTAAAGAAGTTAAGTATAGGTCAGCCAAATATATGAGGAGTATCTCTGAACTTATTGCTTTTACTTTACAAAGTAAAAGTTCATGGTAAATACTAGATCCACTCAGTACGAAGCAGGCTTGGATACTTCAGGCCCACCAGCATGGTTTTTGAAGATGGAAGAGGAAAAGAAAAGACGTAGGAAGGAAGAAGGAAAGGAAAGGCGAGAAGAGGAAAAGGAAAGGCGAGAAGAGGAGAAGGAAAGACGCAGGATGGATGAAGAAAAAGAGAAGGAAGAGGGGCGTAGAAAAGAAGCGGTTGAAATTATGATATATTCACAGGATATCAGAAATATTCCGTGGATCTAATATGAATATCCAAATGTCCGTCTATATCCAGAATATAGAAGATATCCTATGGATTTCCAGCAAAATATCTAATGGGTATCTTCCAGACAATACAAGAAATCCCAGAGATATCCACAGAATATATTTTGTGGATATCCAATATGGATCCCAGGATATAGAAGAATTCGGATATTCAGCAAAATATTTTATGGGTATCTTTAGTAGAGGTTTATAAGTAACCAATGATTATTGAATAACGTCGAAAGAAAATAGCAGAGATAAAAAATATTTTTAACACTCAAAATATTTTCAACACTCTGCCTTTGATTTTGCCCACTAAGGAGAAAGTCATCCTTATTAGGACTCTTCAGCAATAAATGGAAATTCTCGACTCCAGTCTCTAATGGAGTCTGATTGTGATAAAAAATCGATCGAACTCAATTACGGCGGGTTGAGCATGAGTAGATGCGAAAGTGGTATCGCCATCTATACTTAGTAAGCAAAATCAAAAAATTACATCTAGTGGATATCCACGATGGTTTGCGTTCGCGCCTAGACTTTGATATATTTAGTGGATGTCCATGGGATATTGAATGCACCTTAAAAAATTAATTTTAAATATCTGAATGGTACTATTAGCCACAATGGCGAGCACAATAGCGTAATTTTTTAATAATTTGCTATATAATTACTATTATTTATGGACATTTGCATGTCTATAAATTACATCTCATGGATATAAAATAGATATTCACCATGGACTGGACATTCAGTGGATATTGGGATGTCCAGTAGATATCCAAAGGATTTGTTGTGCTGTCTGGGTTAACTTTTCGTACATGCTTTTTAGCAAGGACTGTTTTGATCATCCTCAAACTAATTAATGTACTAGTTTGTTTATTGGGAACAGCCAACCCATCGTGCATGTTCGATTCTACAAGTGATTAGGAACACTTTTATGCTATTGCGCAATTGCAAACTATTCTCGTACAATCCAAACTGCGATTGGGAACAAATCTATTACCTGAAACTTCCCCATGATCTTTTTTTTTTGGAAGGCAGCCTCCTGGTAAGGAAGAGGGCCGTACATCTCCCACGTACATACAGAAATTAAGAGAAAGATTAGAGAAGGTATACGAATTCGCTCGGCAACGTTTGAAAGTTAGTAGCGATAAAACAAAAGCTAGAATCGACATGCATGCCACAGGGACACATTTTAAGAGAGGCGATCCAGTATGGCTGTACAATCCCAAGCTCCGGAAAGGACTTTGTCAGAAACTGCAATGGAACTGGGAAGGCCCCTACACCGTCCTCAAGAAAATCAACGACCTGATCTACCGCATTCAGTTGTCAGCGGGAAGTAAACCCAAGGTTCACGTTGAAAAGCTAGCGCCATATCGTGGTCCCGATCCTCCTCGTTGGCTCCAACCAGGTCCCAGTAATCAAGGTACTCGGAACGAATAACTAGAGAGGAGGGAGCAATGTTACACAGCACCCTTCAGTGTGCTGCGGTCGTAAAAAGTAAAAGTACAAGTAAAAGAAGATATAATAGTCCAGAAATGTCTGGAAATGTCATTCCAAGTTAAGGAAAAGTCTAGACAGTTCGAGAAAGTGAAAGCAAGCTACATATGCAGTGATCCTGACGTCAGTTTTTCAGTTTTATGATAGA